GTGGAAGGAACATGTATGTCCACTGAATTGAGTGGACATGCTTTCTTCTTACAGAGTACAGAATTTCACAAACTCCTTCGTAACTGAAGTTCCCTCAGCATACATTATAGATTCTGCCCCTATGTAGCCCATTTAAAATAAGAATGATTAAAAATGCTCAGGACATCCTTAAACATTTAATCAAACATGGAACTCTTTTAGAGGAACCTGACTCAGTAACTTTGAGGGGACAGAGGTTGAAGGGGAAGTGAGGAAGTCCTTCCAATGGCTTCACCTTCCTCACCTCCCAGAGCCAACCTGCACCAATAGGATTTATTTATTTGTCTGCTCGGCTTACCATGCACATAGAGACAGTCCCCTCTTCTGTAGGGTACGTGTTTCAGATCGGGCAGATTAAAAACCAAGAGTCGAAGTGAATAGTGGTAATCTGTGAACTGGAACATTTCTGTGTTTTCCTGGTCTTTCTCTTTTAGCTTGCACTTAAGAATTGAAGGGAAAAAAATTCTTCCACACACCTAACTGGTATTGGAAGCTGTTAAATAGTGGTTAAAACTGGGTGGATTGGAGGGAACTTTCCTCCCCCATTTTTTAAAGTTTGGCTGTAGGTCCTTCTGCCTGCAGGCTACAGTCACATTAGTGGTTGGAAATTGGATAACGACAGCACAATGACAAATCCAGGTTGCTTGCAATAAGTTGCTAATCCCTTTGCTTTAATATCGGAGCAGCGTATAATGATGTTTGGACATCACTCCAGTTTACTGACGACCCCACTGGGGCCAGCAATAGAACCTTACAACTGTCTAACAAGGCGTCAGGTGACTCCCGTCGTCACAGCAACGGACACTGGAATCTAATCTTCCCTCCATCCCTTCTAGCACCCAATAACGCCTAGATTATATAAGTGGCCCATCATTGCTTGGTAACTTGAATCAATTAACGTTAATTCGCACAATGCTATGATGTATTGTGATCACTTTCATTTCAGGGAAGGGGGAGAAATTGCTATAAGTCACCTAAAATGAGGTTGTCTGTGGTGCTGGGGTATTAATTGGGTGTCCATATTAAATGCAAAAGGAGCCCCATCGTGAAAGGAAAGTGGATGAGTGACTCTCTTGGCTGCTATTGACCTATCAGAAGAAGACAGTGCCCTTTTCCTTTGCTTTTATCTATTACAGTTTTCCCTATTGCGTGTCAAGTTGATGTATTATAAAAAATTCATTTGGTGACCTTTCACCCCCCTAGCAGATTAAACAATTTCACTTCGATGGCATCATTAACAAGACCCTGCATTTAATGATGATTTCTCTAAAAGGCCACGGAGATTCGATTTTAAGCTAACAGATTTATTGCACTATTATAACATATCGTAAAAAACTGTACCACCTACGGTCAGGTTTTAGGTTAGAAACTGCTTAAGAGTTTATGTGAAGCTTAAAGTGGTATTACCTTGGGATATGCTGTAGCGGCAAGTCTTTGACCTCCAGTGGGATGCTGTTTACATTTAATCAGAGATGTTTGCTCACAATAAACTTAAAAATGTGTCAGGGACAGGCCTTTTAGCAAGTGTTCAGGCAGTTGGTTCCCATCCCTCTGTCTCTAGACATCAATGTACTTATATCAGGATCTTGGATGGCGTCTTTTGGCTTTTTTAACCCACACAGCCAGCCTGCATCCTGTCCTGCATCAGAAAGCATTTAAGAAAAGGCGAGGGAAAAAATAGAATTTTGGAACAATGTAGAATTTTCCAATAACCTGGGAACCATGGCATGAATAGCATGGATTTTAAAAATCTGATTTAATTTTTTTTTAAAGGGTCTTAGCCATTGTGGCTATGCAAAGTAACAGATGATGATCAGACTAGCGCATGTGGAATTCCTAGTGAGTGATGGTCATGGTCTTGGCTGGTAGATGACCAAAGGGGTCTGTAAGACCACACATGCCCTGCCCCCCCATTCTCCAGGATTCTCCAGGGAGAGGGAAATTGTTCCCTAGAGAAACTAAATAGTTTTTGATCTTCTGTATTTGTTCTTCCACTGTTCCTCTTCGGAGGACTAATTGTCACCTTTGCCTCACATACACCCTCCATGTAAAATGAATCTTTTATCTTCCCACATAAGAAAAAAGAATAGATTAGGAAATAAAGTAGTTGACTCACAAGCATTTAATTGAAGATGGGTAGACTACCTTTTTTTTTTAAATCAGTCTTGTTAGACCTGAGTTAGGATATTTTGAGAGTAATCTATTATCCTATACTAGGGCAATATATGTGATAAATGATGTCTATATATCTCCATTTAAATGTTTAAACTCTATTGCATGCCTCTGATGCATAATACACAGTAGGTTTAATGGGACAATAGGTATATAACCTATAATGTTCATTTAATAAAGCTACCTTGTTCTTCAAAAATTCCAAAGCTCTGGGAAAAAGATGCTTTGAGATATCATGAATTATGTAACTATTTTATTTATAATTATTCCCTTTTATTTCTAAGTCACATCAGCAATTAATATGCTCAAAAGAGGTGAAAAACAATATAGCTCTAGACTTTGGTTATACACTTACTGTTTGTAAAACCTTTGGCAAACTACTTAAGTCTTTTTGGACCTCGGTTTCTTCATGTGTAAATAAAAGTGTCTGTCATTATGTCATTTTAAAGATACAATGAGTTTATAAATGGAATGCATAGAATAATACCTGTACGGGGTAAGTGCTCAGCGTATATTAATTATAAATGAGTATTTTTCTCCCTGAGGGCTTCATTCAATTGAAATCAATTAATCAATGAATTCTACAGTTACTGATTCTATTTAGTGCAAGCATCTTGTGAAGACTATGCATACAAAAGGGTTGTTGTGAGATTAAATGAGATAGTCCTTGCTCCTTGGAAGAAAAGCTTTGACCAACCTAGACAGCATATTAAAAAGCAGAGACATTACTTTGCCAACAAAGGTCAAAACTATGGATTTTCCAGTAGTCATATGTGGATGTGAGAGTTGGACCATAAAGAAAGCTGAGTACCAAAGAATTGATGCTTTTGAATTGTGGGGTTGGAGAAGACTCTTGAAAGTCCCTTGGACTGCAAGGAGACCAAACTAGTCCATCTTGAAGGAAATCAGTCCTGAATATTCATTGGAAGGACTGATGGTGAAGCTGAAGCTCCAATACATTGGCCATCTAATGCGAAGAGCTGACTCATTTGAAAAGACCCTGATGCTGGGAAAAATTGAAGGCGGGAGGAGAAGAAGACGACAGAGGATGAGATGGTTGGATGGAGTTACCGACTCGATGGACATGAGTTTGAGCAAGCTCTGGGAGTTGGTGATGGACAGAGAAGCCTGGTGTTTTGCAGTCCATGGGATCGCAAAGAGTCAGACACAACTGAGCAACTGAACTGAACTGAACAGTAGGTTTAATGGGACAATAGGTATATAACCTATAATGTTCATTTAATAAAGCTACCTTGTTCTTCAAAAATTCCAAAGCTCTGGGAAAAAGATGCTTTGAGATATCATGAATTATGTAACTATTTTATTTATAATTATTCCCTTTTATTTCTAAGTCACATCAGCAATTAATATGCTCAAAAGAGGTGAAAAACAATATAGCTCTAGACTTTGGTTATACACTTACTGTTTGTAAAACCTTTGGCAAACTACTTAAGTCTTTTTGGACCTCGGTTTCTTCATGTGTAAATAAAAGTGTCTGTCATTATGTCATTTTAAAGATACAATGAGTTTATAAATGGAATGCATAGAATAATACCTGTACGGGGTAAGTGCTCAGCGTATATTAATTATAAATGAGTATTTTTCTCCCTGAGGGCTTCATTCAATTGAAATCAATTAATCAATGAATTCTACAGTTACTGATTCTATTTAGTGCAAGCATCTTGTGAAGACTATGCATACAAAAGGGTTGTTGTGAGATTAAATGAGATAGTCCTTGCTCCTTGGAAGAAAAGCTTTGACCAACCTAGACAGCATATTAAAAAGCAGAGACATTACTTTGCCAACAAAGGTCAAAACTATGGATTTTCCAGTAGTCATATGTGGATGTGAGAGTTGGACCATAAAGAAAGCTGAGTACCAAAGAATTGATGCTTTTGAATTGTGGGGTTGGAGAAGACTCTTGAAAGTCCCTTGGACTGCAAGGAGACCAAACTAGTCCATCTTGAAGGAAATCAGTCCTGAATATTCATTGGAAGGACTGATGGTGAAGCTGAAGCTCCAATACATTGGCCATCTAATGCGAAGAGCTGACTCATTTGAAAAGACCCTGATGCTGGGAAAAATTGAAGGCGGGAGGAGAAGAAGACGACAGAGGATGAGATGGTTGGATGGAGTTACCGACTCGATGGACATGAGTTTGAGCAAGCTCTGGGAGTTGGTGATGGACAGAGAAGCCTGGTGTTTTGCAGTCCATGGGATCGCAAAGAGTCAGACACAACTGAGCAACTGAACTGAACTGAACTGAGTCTTTGTGAAGCAGTGGTGTGGGGAGGTTGTTCCCAGGCATCTCTTCCCAATTCTTTGTGGTGATATCATCTTGGTACCCACAGAATCAATCAGGATGAATGTATTTATACCCTAGAAAATGGAAAAGCACTAAAATCTGATCCTTTCTGGGGAAATCTGGTTAATTAGCATACTTATAAAATATCCCCACCTTCTAAGTATTTTAGTCTCATATGATGCCTCACTGAGATTTTTTGGAGTTAATAAATTGTGATTAAATCTAAGTTCATAATATATGTTCTTCCACCCCACCCCTCACACACCTACTTCATCATTTCCTATGACAAAGAAAACATATAAAGTAAATATATAATTATTCTTTGGTTGTAAGTTCATGTTTGCTATACAGTGTATTATTTAGTTTCTAGAAACAAAGGCAAACCTTTTCACTAGTAATGATGTATTATGGAAAATAGCTACTACAGTGGAATGATATCAGAAATCTGAGGCATGGATTCTTTTCTTTTTTTAACATATGCCAGAAATACAAGCAGTTTCAAAACTGGGAACTTGATATATATTCGGCCTTATAGTCTTTCAGTCCTCGTCCAGCCTTCAGATGGAGAAGTGGGGAAAGAACTCACAGTACAACCACAGCTTGTTTTTCTGGATAAACAGGTACTTTGTGCACAGGTAACAATCTTTACTTGGAGCCGGGTACCATATTGTATTTGGAGCATGTTTCAGACTCCATCATCATCATAATACATGTGTGCAGAACACCCACACTGTGACAGTTGGTGCCCTTAGAACATCTAACTACTTTCATTATTTTCCTTCCATTTCACAGCCTGCTTTCCTTCCACTTTCTGGGAAAAGTCCAGAATATGATTATGGGTAAGAGTAGAATTCTAATACTTTTTCACTCCAAACAAATTCTTACAGTAGGTCTCGGGTGTCTTCTCAGAAATCTATCCTTCCCAAAGTGCTGGATCTATATCTGAAGAAGTCATTTCATATGCTGGTGAAGGCATTTATGCCATTACATTATAGTTCTATGTTATTTTAAGTGATTTCTCCTGTATGTGGTTAAGTACGATATCAACAAGAGGCTTCTGTATGCTTCATTCTAATTTCAGTGTCCAAGTCCTTGGATTTTATCTTTTCTATATTTACTAATGTCATGGGTAGAAGTGAAATATGATAGTTAAATCAACTTTCCACTCTAATTTTAAAAAATGCATCCCATGACATGCTTGTAGAGGGACAAAGCCTGTGGGACTGAGGTCCACACTTTTGCTCTGGTCAGGCACTTACCCAGCTCTCCTGCTTTGTTCTCTTAATGTTTCCTTCCTTATTTATTTTTTTATTTTTTTAAAGCACCTTAACAGCCACAAGATCCGCTGACACTTTTTAAAAATAAATTTTATCATTTTTTGACCCAACTGTGGGGCATGTGAGATCTTAGTTCCCCAACCAGGCATGGAACCTATGCCCCCTGAAGTGGAAATGTGTAACCACTGGACAGTCAGGGAAGCCCCTTTCCTATCTTATTAACCTTCAGCAAACAGTGCCAGTCTCCTTTTCTGTAAACTCAGCTTTCCTTTGTCATCTTCACTGCCTGTCCCAAATTTTCTTGCAATAACCTCCCTTCTGACGATAAAATTATTTGATATATTCTTCTTAACATGACAAAGAATATTTATTATTTTATTTATTTTATTATTTTTCCCTTTGCTTATTCTCATGAATGTGTGGTATATGAAAGATTTTGTCTGAATCCTCTTCTTTTTTGGTTAACTTCACAAAATTCTCTCTGAGTCCTATTTTTCCTTTTTTTTTTTTTTTATACCATCTGAGCCACCAGGGAAGCCTATATATATATATATATTTTTTTTTTTTTCATCTGTTGGTGAACATTTAGACTGTTTCCACATCTTGGCTAGTATAAATAGCATTGAAACAAATATGGGGATACCTCTTTGAGATCCTGCTTTTAATTATTTTGGATAAATACCCAGAAGCGTGCTTGCTGAATCATGTGGTATTTCTAGTTTTAATTTTGTCAGGCACCTTGATACTCTTTTCCAAAATGGCTATACCATTTTCTATTATCATTAAAAGGGCTTGAGAATTCTAATTTCTCCTCAACACTTGCTATCTTTTGACCTTTTTGAAAATAGCTGTCCTATTAGGTGTAAGATTGTATCTCATTGTGGTTTTGATATGCATTTCCCTGATGACTAGTGATGTTGAGCATCTTTGCATATGCCTGTTGGCCATTTACAGGTCTTTGGAGAAATGTCTGTTTAAGGTCTTAGCCTATTTTTTAATTGGGTTATTAGTTTTTAAGCTACTGAGGTTTAAGAATTTCTTGTACATTTTGCAAACTAACACTAACATCAGATAAATGACTTGCAAACATTTTCTCCCGTGTTATAAGTTGCCTTTTCATTCTGTTAATTGTTAACTATGCAGAAGCTTTTAAATTTGATGAAATCCCACTTGTCTAATTTTGCTTAAACTGTCCGTACTACCCAAAGAGATCCACAGATTTATTTTAATCTCTATCAAACTCTCAATAATATTTCTTACAGAAATAGAAAAAAGCAATTCTAGAATTTATATGGAGCTGCAGAAGATCTTAAATAATCAAAATTATCTTGTAAAATAAGAACAAAATGAGAGGTACCACTTCCTAATTTTAAAGCATATTACAAAACTATAGTAAACAGTATGATACTGGCTTCAAAACAGGCATATAGACGAATGGAACAGACTATCGAGCTGAGAAGTAAATCCACTCACTTATGGCCAACTGATATTCAACACAGGGATGAAGGATATACAATGGAGAAAGAATTGTCTCTTCAGCAAATGGTATTGGGGGAAACTGGATATCCACGCCCAGAAGAATGCAGTTAGACACTTATTTTACACCATATAGGTTATGACATTTGTATTAATTTGAGTGTTCCGTAATGCTTTTGCAAACTTGTAAGCGACTCATTTACCAATTTAAACAGTTGCCTGTCTGCAGCATTGCTGGTTTCCAAGAATAGACTCTGATTTTACAGTTACTTCTTGCTCTACCCTGGCTTTGAGTCTAAGCTCATCCTCATGCCTCCTATAAAATATGTACCTTGCCATCCTTCATACATTACCTGTACCCAGTACCTTACACTCCATGCTTTACCCCTACCTCATACCTACTCATCCGCTATACCTTACTCAGCCTCTATAATCTACTGTGCCCCACTCCTGACTCATACTACCCTGGGTTCTTCACTACTTTTCTTTCAGTTATCCCAAGGATATCCTCACCAACTTGTTTCAAATCATACTGAATCATGAAAAATGAATAAGGCATGAAACCATTTGTTATTTTCTTCTATTAATACCAAGTTGTGCTCAAGTGAACGTACTCCCCTGGATCAGTATTGTCACCATTGTCCTTGTTTGGAGACTCAATGTGAACATATGAGGAGTGGTCTGGATGTCTAATATGCATATATTTTATGTGTGTGTGAATGTCATGAAATAGGAAAAAAAATTATTTATAGAAATGCCCACATCACCAAACAGTTTATTTCAGTGATTGGAATTATCTCTCAACACCATCATGAATTGTTTCTCCTTAACTTCAGAGAGAATGGAACCAAAACCATTTGGCATAGACCACCTAACTTAAGTATTTCCTGCAGAAAAATAAATTAAGAACAAAATCATATCTATGTCTAGCCTAAACCTTTTGTTCTGCAGATTAACTTCATGTTCTTTGACCTCAGTCAATCCTCTTCAGTTAAAAAAAAAAAAAAGAAGATTATTAGCTGTTAACCAAACTGGGTTTATACACATGTGCTGTGTGTGTATGCCCAGTCATGTCCAACTCTTTGCAACTCCATGGATTGTAGCCAGTCAAGCTCCTCTATCCATGAAATTTTCCAGGCAGGAACACTGGAGTGGGTTACTGTTTCTTCCTCCAGGAGATCTTCCCCACCAAAGGATCAAACCTGCTTCTCTTACATCTCCTGCATTGGCAGGTGGGTTCTTTACCACTGTGTCACCTGGGAAGCCGTGTGGGTTTATATACTCAAAGATAATTATTTTAGGACCTTCAGATCCTTTGATATTTAACTATAGATCCTCATTGTAGAAAAATATGTCCTCAATATTAAAAAAAATCTCAACATTAATGATGTAATAGTTTGTTAGTGTAGACAGCTAGGGGTAAGATGGGTAGTTGTGGGAATGGGTGGGGGTGGGATTTGGACTAAAAAGGTATTTTAAAACCCTATTTCTTATAGAATCACATTCAAGTAGCATTCCCTGATAAATCATGTAATCAACTTCAGTCTTGCTTCAAACCCAACACCTCATCTTCTCCCAGGTTCCCTCAGCCAGTCCCAGCTTGATCAGGGAGCCTGTCTATGACATTTGTCTATTTTACAATTATCATTCCAGAGATATGGAGAACCCCAGAGTAATATACTGTATTTGGCAGCAACTGCCTACGCTTTTGGGCACATATGCTTCAAATCTGACAATATCATAGATATATATGGGAATCTTTGTAGAGATCTCTGAGGCAAGCTGGTATTTAACACAAAAGCAAGCCCATTTGAAGCTGAAGTACTTTCCATTAGGCAGTTTGGCGGCTGTTCTATGAAGCAGACTCACTGTGCTCGCCGGACACATTTCGATTAAATGCTGCTTTGTATTCCTCCAAAGATGGGAACAATAAGGACGTTTGTCAAAGGAAAAACTGCAGCAAACGATTTCATGTTGAACATCTGTACTCTGCAGTTCATTGTTTGCAAGAGTTTATTGACCATAATTTTGATGCATATAGGTTTTAAAGAGTATGAACGGCATTTATCTTGGGCGCCTATCATTTATTTGAGTCTTAGCTTATTTATTTCCATTTTTTCTGGGCATTTTTATTTATTTTGGGACTCTGAAGAGATGAAGGAAAGATGTTTCTGAAAAGGGAAGTTTTAGTTAGCTCTGCAAAATTGATGAAGAAAGACAATGTTTTCCCAAAAAAAGGATTGAGCAATTGAATTGAAAAATGTAACACTGTGCATATTCTATCTTTATGATACCTTTCAGCCTTAAAGATCTCAAACCAATTTTTAAACATTAGGACCACTCTCCTGTCTCATTGTCAATCATACCAATAATCATAGTGACATTTCCAAACTGAAATGGAGCAGCTGTTAATTAGCAAAGTCATTTGAGGATAGTGGAGGCAGAAGACTAATTCATGGCATTGTGAACGGGATCTGGAGCTCAGTTTCCTTCTTTCGGTTTGTAAATGGATGGCCTATTGTTAGAAAATGTAAGCTTTCCTTTTCGCATTTTATTCAGGGAAACCAAAGTGCAGACAATCCAAGTTGCTGAACAGGGTAGTCTTTACCAGTCCTGATCTGGTGTGTGGCTGTGCTCCTAATCTATTGGCCTCACTCTGCCACCACATAAACTACCGATCCCTTGACCAGAAGAGAGGCAGAGCCTAGAAACTGACCACCAAGAAAGATAATAGACTTTCTTTCTTGAGAGACATTTAATAATAAAATCCATGCATGCATGCTAAGTCGCTTCAGTCATGTCTGACTCTGTGTGACCCTATGAACTGTAGCCCGCCAGGCTCCTCTGTCCATGGNTAGTGTAGGTGACTAACATACACTATTTGGTTTTGTGTTTGTTTGTAGGATGTACTCACGTAGAAACTCAAGATGGTTATGTGAGCTTCTCCAACTTGGCAGTTTTGATCTCTGGGTCAAATTGGCACTTTATTTTTACTGTCACTTTTCCTCCAGGTAATTTCAACACATTGTGTTTTTATTATCTGTTTCTTTCTTTCTTTTTTAAAACATAGCCCCTTCTCCTTTATAATGGGACTAGCTCTTCTCATGAATAACAGTCACTGTAGCTTAGAGAAAAAATTCCCCTGGTTACATCATTATGGTGTGAGAAGCAAGAACACATGTCGAAGTTAAGCCTGAAGAGCAAGTATTGCTTCCTGGTAAGCAGGAATCCAAATGTACATTTTCTTCTAGTTGTTAAAATTTACTTTGAATGTGCTACTTTTTTTCCTATGACATTTGATGGAATTTGAATATTAATTTAAAAATTTTAATTTATAAGGAATAAAGTCATGGAGTATTGAGTTTTATGAAACCTTATCTTTTAGTCCTGCCTGCCGCATCCACTGCCCCACCCCCACCTTGGAGATGATGGCTATACACATTCACAATCCTGGTACTTTAGAACTGTAGGTAGAAGGTGTGTGTAAACTGTTTATACGATCCAGTTCTTTCTGAGAAAACATTCAAAAGAAGTCTCCCTTCTGAAGCATTCTTGACAAATTTCACTTTGTTAGAGGGTACTACTATTCAATCACTTTGTAGTGAATAAATGCTACTTAAACTTCAAAGGCAGATGAGCTTATGAAAAATATTACTCTCCCATTTCCATGATGAATAGAGTCCAGTTTCCACCCCACAGAGGAATGGTGAGAGTCCAATATTGGGCATCCTTTTTATAAAGCATTAAACTCTGATAGAGACACAATTACCACTTTAAAATGATTTAGATATTGCATCCAATATTGTAATTTACCAGAAAAAACCTTCCTCACCTAAGGGAGCATCAAAAAAATTCTAAAAATTTTAGCATAGCAAAAAGTTGATATTTATAATCAATTATTAATTTGAGTCAGGGAAATTAGTTTGATACTTAAGACAGGCAACTGTAGATAGCAGTTAATGCATCAGCTGTGATAATGCAAGGCTTTTAAAAAATACACCAGAACAATCATGAGTGGATTTAAACCACTTAGATATTGGAAATGGCAAAGGAAATGAAATGTTTTCATGTGAGCTGTCTGAACCCCAGCAACAAATATTTAATTAAGACCAGATATGAGTTCTACTTCATGAAACTTAAATTCAAACCGCAGTATACTTTTCAAAAAGTTAAAAATATGGCTTTCATGAAAACGTATGATGAGCACTTGTCAACAAGTCACTTAACTTTTTAATGCGGGAACTGGGAGGATAGCAAGGTGTATAGTTCATGTAGCCTGGAAAGAAAAGACTGCTGAAATAAGTTTACTAAATTGGATACAGGGCAACCAAACTCTAATCTTTTCTCAGTTGTGTGTCTACAAATATCACTTATATTCTGACTGGATGAAAATCATTTTCAACTTACCCAATGTTCTACAAATTCACAAGATTGGCCCCTAAATGTTAAACATTAAGTTAAAAAAAGGTGTGTTCCAGAGAATTTGATAAACCTTGGATGAGTTTGTTCGAAAATCCTCTTTTATGACATTGATAATATCTGTAATCTTTTTTCCCCCCTCTCAGTTCCAAGTTTTAAACCATTTTTCTTCACAAAGAGAATATCATCTGGGGTTGGGTAGTATTGTTAATTTTGTAAGACAGCTATTCTATTGATATCTGTGATGTTGTCCTAATGGAAGGACAGATCCATGGAGAATGTTCAGTGCCTTGACCGTGGGATTCCCAAAGATATATTTTGAAGGGTAACACATGCAGAGCTGAATATTTTAGTCCCAGCTTACTGGATATTTAAAAGGCCATTGCCCTACAGTTTTCTCAGTAGTTCAGTCAGTTCAGTTCAGTCGCTCAGTCGTGTCCGACTCTTTGTGACCCCATGAATCGCAGCATGCCAGGCCTCCCTGTCCGTCACCAACTCCCGGAGTCTACCCAAACCCATGCCCATCAAGTCGGTGATACCATCCAGCCATCTCATCCTCTGTCATCCCCTTCTCCTCCTGCCCCCAATCCCTCCCAGCATCAGGGTCTTTTCCAATGAGTCAACTCTTCGACTGTCTCCCCATCTATTTCCCATGAGGTGATGGGACCAGATGCTTAACTAAGATTAAATACTTCATCAAGGTTATTTGAAGGCATATGCTATAAACCAAATGTAAACTATAGTGAAGACAGAAGCTTCTTGGTGACACTGTGATTTTGAGCTGGCCCTGGTGTTCACAGTTACTGGCCTACTGCTTCCTTTAGTTTCTGCCTGCAGCTTGCAAAGTCTCCCAACTGAGGAATTGTCTTGCATTTTTTCTTTATCATTTTCCTTAAATTATTCTTTGTCATTTTCAAGACATTCTACAAGGTGAAGTGAGGCTCTGTTTAAATGAGGAGAGAAAAGATGAAGGAGAAATAGAAAACATCAGAAGGCCTGCCCTTCTGTGACCCCATAACCTCACGTTCCTTAACAGTATAGCTCCTGAGAGTGACTTGTTTCCAGGTGTATCAATGTCCAGGGCTGGAATTATTTGGGAAAGCAGCTTATCCTGGCCTGTCCTTACATTGATAGACCAATCAGTGACACTTCTCCTTTTTAACAAGCTCCCAGAGAAGAGCTGTGACAAGCATTTATTCATGAATGTTATTGTTATCTAATTTCTGAATCAAACAGCAGATTGCAATCATTTTTATTATTTTCCTTCTTATCCCTTAGAGAGAGGAACTCATATTTTTTCCTATTTTATTATGTTTTGTCTCATATTTATTTATTTTTCTTAAAATGAAGAAAAGGGACAAAATTCAATATCTATTTAATGTCCAGAGATGGCAGATAATGGCAGATGTGATTCCTGATTTTAGATCATAGAGATTGGCCAACTGTCTTTCTAAAGTTTCCAAGATTGTCCATGTCTTTATTTTTTTTAATGGAAATAAATGTCACTTTAATCAATGTTTCGTTAATTGCTGCATGCAAAGACATACATTTCTTCAACTCTGTAGATACATCAAAGACATAATTAAGGACTTAGTTCTTTTAATATGCATGTATATAATATATTTTCTATTGAGGTACCATTGACATAACATTGTGTAAGTTTAAGGTGAACAGTATGTTGGTTCAATATATTTATGTATTGCCATATGATTACCCCTGTAGTGTTAGCTAACATCTATATCACATTACATAATTGTCATTCTTTTTGTTGTTGTTGTTCTGAGAACAGTTAAGACCTACTCACTTAGCGACTTTGAAATTTATTATACGGTATCATTGACTATAATCACTATGCTATTTTGGAAATATAAAAATTGAGGAACTGAGAAACTGCATAGGGTGACCAAGTGTGTATAGAATCCTCATAAGTCTTTCTAACATGTGGACTAATCCGGCTCATTTATCCATCCCAGAGGGCAAGGTGTCTGTAGGTTTGTTCTCTTGACTTCCCGCCCAGCCTTTCCACAGGCACTGTCATTACTGTTGTCTAGGCTGTGGTTTCTTTAACCATTTCCTGGGGCCCTGGGGCTCTTAGGGAGCTCTCCAGGGCTGCTGGGCGGAGATGGAATGCACTCTGCCACCTGACCCAACTGCAGTTGCTATTTCCGAGTCTAGAATATTCCTCCTCCCTAAATTCACATGTCTTACTCACCAGTTCACCCAGGGTTCTTCTCAAATGTCATCTCCTCAGAGAGCTCTTTTCTGCCTCGCTCTGTCTGCACCACCATCCCAATCTTGCTCCCCCCATCTCCAGCCATTCTCAGTCTTCTGCTGGGAATTCCTCACTCCCTGGTGTCAAGAGTATCCGAGTATTTGCTTGTCTGTCTATTGCCTGCCTGCTCTATTCTGCCTTAGAACCTAAATTCCAAAAGGGACAAGAATTCTGCCTAGTTCAGCATTACAGCCCCAGTGTAAACAAAAACAAAAACTGGCATGTCATAGGCACAAATAAATATTTGTTTATGAATAGGTGGGTATACTGAGATTCTATCTAAGATTGCATTTAAATAATGTTCTGCTGTTGAAAATATTTAAAAACTGGCAGTCTCCACCCTTAGACCCAGGTTACTGCTCTAGACTTACAAACCTTAGGCCTGATTTCAGCCTCTGTGTCATTATCTGTGTTCTAAACACTTCCATGGCCTACTCTTCTATATCCCAGGTAGCTCAAGCCACTTCTTCACTCAGACTTTTTCCATTTATGACACCTCGTTGACTTCAGAATGTTGTCACAGTCTTTTGGCTTTTGATGTGTAATGCCCACCCAAATTTGCCTCACATTTTTCCTGCATTAATTCCTGGTATTTCCTGGCAGTAGTTTTTTTCAATATAGGTCACTTTTTCTCTTTTCTGCCTTTATTTGTTCAACTTTCACATCCCCATCTAGATACTCCCTCCTATGGAATGCTTTCCCCAAGCATACCAATGGAAAACAAACTTCCAAAGCAATTGACTTGCATCATTCTGGTGGCATGGGTCACATTCTGATTTGTATTATATTTGTATGTGTTTCCTATTTCATTTATTAGCTTGTAAATGTCTTAAGAATGAGAACAGTAACTTGTCTACTTGGTGAAGTAAACAATCACTGAGCAGTTATTGTAAAATGGATAAAAGAATAAAGAATTTTGTTTTTACTTCTGTGAATCCCTAGTAAAATCCATCCCTCTGTCTCTGGGCTAGAATTAGCTTATTCAGTTGTCCATAAAAAGGAACTAATTGATAACAAACAAGCCAAATATGGCTCAAGTATAAGACATACACACAAGAGAAGCATTTCTAGATAATTTTGTTATAGTAGCTTTGGGACCAAGTCAGCCAGGAGTCAAGAGACTGGGAATCTAACTGTGACTTCCAATCTAATGTCAGGTTCAGCTCAAGGAAAGCACAGCAAAGAAAACACAGTGTTTCCTTGAGTCGATGAAATAAAAGCTCTGTTTTTGCCTGAATTATTCAGATGAAAGCAGAGATTTGGGGGTTTGTTTTTTTTGAATGAGCTACTCAAAAACACTAGTTATATCTAATATATGTTCACAAGCAAGTGTTTTTCTTTAACTTTTGTCTTGAGATATAATTGACATAGGATAAGCTATACATATTTAAAGTGTACTATTAAATAAGCTTTGATGAATCTATACTTCCATGAAACCATCCCCACAATTAAGATAATGAACCTATCTATCATTCCCAAAATTATAGGCAAAGTTTTAAATGTTCTATTTTTGAAATAACATACAGTAAAAATGATCTTTTTGGTAAGTTATTTCATAAATTCATATATATATATATATATATATAGAGAGAGAGAGAGAGAGATTCATATAATCACTACCACTATCAGGATATAGAACATTTCCCAAAGGTCTCCTTTATGTTGTTCCTCTGTCCTCACATCCTCCCACTAATCCCTGCAACTTCCACAATCTGGTTTCCATCCCTATAATTGTCTTTTCTAAAATAACATATAAATGGAATCATATCATATATACAGGGCTTCCTTTGTGGGTCAGATAGTAAAGAATCTGCTGCAATGTGGGAGACCCAGGTTCGATCCCTGGTCGGCAAGATCCCCTGGAGAAGTTTCCAGAAAACTGGAATCCCACTGGAATTCCAGAAAACTGGATACCCAGTTTCCAGAAAACTGGAAACCCATTCCAGTTTTCTTGCTTGGTAGGCTCCCTGTCCATGTGGTTGCAAAGAATCAGACACAACTGAGCAACTAACACTTAACACACATCATATGTACCCTTTAGAAATGGACTTCACCCACTCAGCATAATGCTTTGGATGTTTATCTCAGTTAGAGTTTCCTTCCTTCCTCCCTGTTCTAATTAGTGGAGAATAAGAGTGAATCTTCAGTTTTGCACTGGTGGAGGAAGTAGGTCTGAAAATAGGAGAGCATTGGAAGAATTCTCCCATTGTAATGAACAGAACTGGAAATAATCATATGATATTGTTGGAATCTTGAAGTTCTTCAGAAATAGGAGTCTTGCATTTATTATTGATTCATATATTTAATCATCTAATTCAATAAATATTTATTGAACCAACTATGTGCCAGGTACTGTTTCAACCATATCTCTTCCACAATATTTTATTATATTAGCATCTTATTAGTATGTTATTATTATAATTTTGTATTTATTTGTTTTTTTGAACAGGGGTCAATTTTACAGCTCGCTCCAGGCCGTTTGCTGTCTTACCTGTGACTCCATCCGAGAGATCCACCATCATCATGGCTGCTTCCTTGTGCTCAGGGGTCTCGTGGCTGGCTCTGTGCTGCCTCGTATGCTGTTGGTTTAAGAAAAGCAAAACCAGAAGTATGCAGGTTGTTTTTGAATAAAAATACCTGAAAAAATATACCATTATGTATAATATACTATTCTTTTTCTTCCCACAAAGAAACATATTTTATGAGCCTCTGTTACATATCAAACAGCAAATTGCTGTTTGATGCAGCCAAATTGCTCAATTTATAGAGACAAGGATTGCCTAATCCCAAATAACAACAATAACAATAATATAACAATAATAATAGCAACAGCTCTTATTTTTTGAATACTCACTATGGACTGGGTTCTAAGAACTTTAGAGACTTGAATTCATTCAGTCTTCAGAACAGTTCTATCAAATAAGTACCGAGTACTCTGTCTGTGTTTCAGACATGGCACATGAAGCACAAAAAAGCTAAGTGACTTTCCCAAGGTCTCACCACCAGAATCAGACTGGGTAGTTAGGTTTCTGCTAGACCCCACTCTCTGAAACACTGTGTGGGGCAGCCCAGGTGACCTTCCAAAAAGGCAAATTCTATAATCAAGGGGAAATATCCTCTTCTTTTTCAGAAGAAGAAAGAGAGTGCTTGGGTTTTTTGTTTATTTGCCTCTTTTTCCCTAGGAGCATAGAAACTGTTCTTGGGCATTTTCCCAGAATCTGATCTTATTTTTTTCTTTTTTGGGGCAGTGAGATGGGGTTGGAGACATGGATAAAACCCCTGTGGTATTAGGAGATACTAGGAAAACAAAGTGATAAGGAAGAGTGGGTATAAAAAGACAGAATGAGGAGAGGCAAAGAGAGAAAGTGAAAAATTAAGACAGGAAAGAGCAGGAAGTAGGGTGCCACCACCAGACAGGTCACTGTGCTTGGATTTCTGAGAGCAGCTGGAGAAGGAAATTCCACTAGATGCTCTTTATTTTGAACCAAGCTTCATATTTTTAACTTAAAAATTGTGCTGTAAAATGTGTATAGTGAAAAGAATGGTATTTTTCACAAACTTCTTTAATGTCTGATTTAAGAAAAGTCAGCTGGATTCTCTTAGCAGCTTCTGCATTTGGTCTGTTGCAATTGTTGTATTGTTTTGACTGAAGTATCTGAAAAAAATTCTAGCCTCAAATAGATACCTCATAGGAAAAGGAAGAATATTTTAATAACTTTTAAATATACAGTAGATGTTCTTATTTGTTGCTGCACCTAAACTAGACCAAAGATACTTTTTGTATTCTGTTACATGAAAATGCACAAGTCTACCTTGTACTTTGAATTTTGCCCACAGGTGATTTTGCAAAATTATGTTTTGGCCACTTGGTAAATGTTGTTTCACCAAGTTATATAGATATACGAAATGCTGATTTTAATATATTTCATTCTAAAATTTTTTTAAAAACTACATGTTAATATCAATAGAATTAGAAATTCTGTGAAGCTCATGGTAGTTTATAGCAACGTTTGTTAAACTTCTAAAATTTCTGATGTGAACTTGATTTATATCACTGATGACAAATACTATCAATTGTTTCTTTGAAGTTACAGGCTCACTTCATTTACTGATAAAAGAAATCTCCCAAATACCCAATTTTGAATAACCATAATTTGTCTCTCAGTTTTTCTTTCAAGTGCTTTCAATATGAAATGGTGTTTCATGGAAAAAAAAAAAATCAATCAATCAGTTTTGCTCAAAACAATCACAAAAGTGCTTTTTCTTGAGACAATCATCATGTCTCTTGGCATGGCATTATCTGACATTATATTATAATTTATTTGCTTATCATCTGCCATCCATACTAGAATAAAAGCTCTATAAGGGCAGGGACCTGATCTTTCATACAATTGACTATCACTCCAGTCAAGAGCGGACTGAAGATATAAAGTCTTCGATCAAATACACGCAGCCATATGAGTTCTGTGGGTTGCACTAATGCCAGTTTCCTAGTTTTAATGTCATACTACAGTTAATGTAAGTTGTTGATGTGAAGAGAAGGCTAAGTGGAGGTGCATGGGTCATCCCTGTATGTTTCTTTGACACTTTCTGTGAACCTATAATTAATTCTCAATAAAATCTGAAAAAAATACAGTAAGTCCCCGCATATGGACAAGTTCCCTTCCGAGAGCACTTTCATAAGTTAAATTTGTAAGTCCGACCAAGTTAGCATAGATACCCAACTAACACAATTGGCTATATAGTATTGCACTTTACTGTAATAGGTATCTAATAATTTTCACATAAAATGCATTGAAAACAAACACAAAAAATAAAGCATTTAAAATCTTATAGTACCTTGAAAAATACAGTAGTACAGTACAACAGCTGACATACAGAGGCTAGCATTGAGTAAGCCGGCAAGAAGAGTTGCTGACTGAAGGAGAGAGAGGAGGTGGGAGATGGTAGAGCTGAAGGATCTGCAGCAATAGGAGTTGGAGGGTAAGCTGCAGTTTCACGCATCCCTGATGTTGATGGCACAGCTTCTGGTTCCTTGCTGGGTTCAACTCCACCTTCTTGGAAAAACGATCCAGTGATATCTGGATAGTAGCTCTTTTTTTCTCATCATGGATGACACTATCACATTGCATTCTGAGCAGCTTGTGCAACCTCCGTGTGCTGTTGTATGTTCAGGTCCTGTGTCTCAAATGCCTCAGACAAAGAAAATCCCCTGGCCATTTCCTGCATCATGAATCTCTTCAGTTCTTCAGTTACTTCTTCCTCTTGTCTCCTTTCGCCCTTTCTCTGGGCCTCCAACTCTATCAGGTCTTCATTAGTAAGCTCCTTGTGTTGCATAGCAAAAAGTTAATAAAGTCGTCCGCTTAAAGATCTGGCTTGAAATAAAGATACTGTACTACTGTACTTCATACAGTACTCTACAGGGAAGTACACAAGAGCACAGCCACTTCTAGAGGATGCAATAATGCGACCATGTACACCAGACACAGAGCTAACTTATGTGACTGGACATTCAAACACAGGCTCGAATCTTTGAAAGTTTGCAACTTGAAGGTTCATATGTAGGGCACTTACTGTACTAGGAACATTCTATAGCCACTCTGGTCAACAGAAAGATAACATAAACCATGTTCATGGTTATATGACGAGGCAGATAGTGTCATTTTCTAGTAGCCATTTAACCTAAAATTAGCTGGAGCTGAAGCTCCAATACTTTGGCCGCCTGATGTGAAGAGCCGACTCATTGGAAAAGACCCTGATGCTGGGAAAGATTTAAGGCAGGAGAAGGGGGTGACAGATGGTTGGATGGCATCACGGACTCAATGGACATGAGTATGAGCAAACTCTGGGAGATGGTGAAGGACAGGGAAGCCTGGCGTGCTGCAGTCCATGGGTTCTCAAAGAGTCGGACATGACTTAGTGATGCTACTGAACGACAAACCTAAAATATCAAAATAATATTTAAACATGTAATGAATATAAAAGTATTAGGTATCTTGCATTTTTGAAAAATCAAGTGTGTATTTTATGTTTACAGACACATTTCACATATTCAGCCACCACATGTAGTGGCCACCATTTTGGACAGTAGTTTTATACTTCCGTGGTAGTGGTCAGTATATGGGATTTTATTTTATTATTCCTTAAGCTCTGGGATGTTGTGTGCATTTTGTTGCACATTTATCACAATGATTTGGGGGAAGTGGACAAGAGAAATATCCTAACACTTAGGTTCATTTGCAATAAATATGTCATTTTATTCTTTAAAAAAAAAACACTTCTTTTTTTCATTAATTTAGAAATAAAAAATGAAGAGATTTCTGAAACTCAGACTAGTGATCAAAGGAATCACAGCCATGTCTCACCCAGACACCAAGGGTCACAAGCAGAGACTGGAAAAGAAGTCACCATGATGGCAGAAGGTAAGCTTAAATAATAGGATGATTCCCACATAGAGAAACAGACCCATGGTGTATGAACTGTAGCCTCCTTCTGGCTCTCAGTTTCTGAATCAATTTAGTTTATAGACCTTTCTTTAGCCTTTGTTATTTCTTCTCAAGGAAATTATACCCCAGCAAAAGAACATACAAGTCCAGCTGATTCACTCAGCTATTAACCAATGATTCGAGTTGACATTCATATATGTTTTTTCTTACTAGAAGATTATTGGTTTAACATTTGAATTCATTACATAAAGAAAAGGAAAACCAGAGTATAGGCATATAATCTTTCCCTCAGCTATTGCAAAGCTGCCAGTTTGGCAACATAATTGAATCTGGAACAAAGAGCCTGGAGTTGCCCAACACCAACTATGCAAATTAGACTGAATATAGAACCCTCAAGAAATGTCAGCTTTGTTAAGCCCTGCTTTGCTGCTTAGTCGTACTTTTTGTGAAAGGTATTATTTGCCTACATTGTGCATGATGCCAGATGATTTTTGTTTGTTATATTGTTAAATGGCCATTAGAATTGCTGCCAAGCAGAGAAAAGATAAGCATTTGTTTCAGACCAATGTTCTGTGTTTTTGAGGACACAGAAATTAGAAAGACAATGGGCAGAACACAAGATGGATTTGCCAAGTATGAATATGGTGTATGAAAAATATTCAGTAACTTCCATAGATCTGAATTTTGAAACATATGCTCTAAAGGGAAAAATATTGCTTGTTTTCTAAGTAATAACTAATTATCATGATATTTTCTCCTTGAAAAGGAATCCAAATCTTACTGGTTCTGAGTGGATGTTTAACCAAACCATAGCAGTCTGACGTCATTCTGCTTCTAATGAATTTCATGAACTCTGGTGACTGTGTGTGTATCTGTGTATCGGTTTGTTTGCTCCTTTGCATTTTTTTTCCCACAGAGGAAATGAGGGTTTTTAAAAAAATTTCCTATCAAATTAGCCATCTATTTTCCATCCAGCTCCTGGACCTGCATCAGAAAGTAGTAGGAAATATGAGTGGGTGGGAGTGTGAAAGATGGAGTTTGAGAGAAGTGGGCAGGAACTCTTTCTAGATTCCATCTAAGACTACTTTGATTTTGGTTTCCAGAAGCTTGTCCATATCATGGCATGCAAATTCAGGACAGGTGTTTGAAAATGGTCCTCGGAACCCAGCTCTGTGAAGAAGGGCATATTCAACTGCATTCTCCAGCAAACAGCAGGAGTGATGCTAATCTTTCCCCTAATCTAATATGACCATCTACATGAATCTCAGTTTCCCAGCTTAAATTAACTACATTACGCAGTCCACAATGCCTGGATGTTTTATTAAGGGACATTTTTTGTGTGGTGGCTTATTAATAAATTATCAGGAATGAAACAAGGGATAGGGCTCCTGTGGATGAGTTTAGATTAAAGAGATGGGAGAATGAAAGAGGCCATTTTATTAGGACATCCAAGTTCAAAATAGAAAGATGTGTGTTCCAAACGCTCCCCTGGGGATCAAAGTGGATTTGTTTTCTTATCTTCTAAGCTTTGTCCACATCTTAAGAGCATTGTTTCCAAAGAAAGTAATGAGACATCTCCTGCTTTTCTTTGGAAACTATCACCAGCTATAAATACCTAATTACTGCTAGCTTTAAATAAATTTGGTTTTATTCTATTATTACCATGATACTCTAGTTTCCTTTTCCTTCTGTGTTTTTAAACTGGTGGCATTTGCTGATCAAGTGATTGGCCTGTCTCTCTCATAAGCATTTTGCAAACACCAAGCATCACCATCAAATATTTAGCTGATAGAATCGAGCATTTCTGCTGTCCAGTAGATACAGACTATAAATTTATCATGTTACGGCTTTTACCAAAAATTGTATGTATGCAGCAGGGAAGGGAGTAAAGCATGTATCTCTCCCTTGAGTTTTACTTTTACCAGGGCATTTGACATAAGGAGCATCTAAACCAGTTTTTAAAATTCACATATGCTTTTATCACTCTGCTATTCACAAGACTTAGTGAATTACCAACCTCAGTTGGATAGGCAGGAGAAGTTAACAATTAAGAGCATAAAACTTGGGCATCTGCAAGACTGGGTTTAATCTGATTCCCTTGTTGACTTTACTTCATGGCCTCAAGAGGGTCAACTGTCCTCTGTGCACTTTGACTTCCTCATCACGAGAATTGTCCTAGTAATATCACCCACACTCAGATGTTGTTATGCTGATTGAGTGAGTATCACTATAAGCATGGGGAGATTTCTGGCACATTGTGTATGCTGCATGTGTGTTATTTATTATTGTTCTTACTTGTTTTTAGGACTCAAAGCTCTTCAAGACTTGACTCTACCTTGTCTTTCTCTGGATTCCACCCTCTTGCCCCCTCTTCACACTCACCTCCACCAGCTCACTCTTCTTGAGACTGGTCTAACACCTTCACACACACTCACCTGCGCCGTTTCTTCCAATAGGATTGCTTGTCATCACCCGTTAGAAATGAATGAGCTTAAATTTCATCTTCCAATACAGATGAAACAAGTATGTATTTATTTCCTGATTTTTTTAATACATTTTAAGGTCCTCTCTCTGCAAAGTTACAAAGAAATGATACTTGGCCACTATTCTTTATGGCTTTCTAATATGATTGGGACATGAGAATAATATTTTGGGGAAAATGAACAATTCCAGGTGATAAACAAAAAAGTATAAAGCAATCACCATCATGCTAAGGAGAGAAAGACTTTCATTATCCTAAGTTACATGTTTAGTCTCTCCAGTTCATAAATCATATCACACTGCTTCAAATCCCGTTTGCTAAAGGCTTAATTGTAGAGTTTGCACACACTTGGGGTCCACAAAAGAACTGAGAAGGAGTCCTGCTATGCTCTGTGGAAACTCAGCTTTGTACCATTCTTTGGCGATTGTTCCCTTGTTGCCCTAGTTTGGTGAATAGCCCCCAGACCTCGCAGGCTAGATACCTCAGAGTCACCTTTAACCCTTGGCCTTCCATTACGACCTTGCCTTGTGGCTTGCTAGTTTTATCGATTCCGTCTCTGCAGTGTCTTGGTTTACATCCCCGTTCCCCCTACCTACTCCATTTCCCAGCTGCATCTTCAGGTCAGTCTCAGTTAACAAACTCCCTACAGAGGTCCATCCTCTATTCCCTCTCTTTTCCTGCTTGGACACTGTTCTCTGTACATAACTTAAGAATCTCGGTTCCAAGACACACTTCTCTCACATAACCATAAATCTTAAGTTTTCATTCCTTCCTTTCAATCCCAGGTTGAATATTTTTTCTCTTTTTAAAATTCAGCTATCTAGAAGGAATAGTCCCCTTTTCTCAACTTTTGTGACACTTCCCTTTTATTCACTAAACACCTTTTATATGTAATATAATTATGCGTGTTCATCTTGTCCCAATGCCTCCGTATTAGGTCTGTATCTTTTCTAACGCCAGAGGGCATTATAACATGAGACCATTGATGACCGTTGTTGAGTGAATGAACTGAACTGAACTGTTGAGGGAATGGTGAAGGCAGAGATAGAATGGATCCTTCTCCATTCCCCCTCCCCTTTTCACGGACCCCTGGATTCCAGCAATTCCTACAATAGCTGACAGGAAAAAAAAGGCCACTCATCTCCTCTAAAGGAGATGGAGAAATTTTATCCTGGTTCATAAGATTAACAACAGGATAATGGCTGCACATCTTTTGGGGTCTTGAATTCAGTTCAGTTCAGTTGCTCAGTCATGTCCAACTCTTTGCAACCCCATGGACTGCAGCACGCCAGACTTCCCTGTCCATCACTAACTCCTAGAGGTTACTCAAACCCATGTCCATCAAGTCAGTGATGCCATCCAACCAACTGAACCTCTGTGTCCCCTTCTCCTCCCACCTTCAACCTTTCCCAGCATCAGGGCCTTTTCAAAAGAGTCAGTTCTTTGCATCAGGTGGCAAAAGTATTTAATCTTCAGCATCAGTCCTCCCAATGAATATTCAGGACTGATTTCCTTAAGGATTGACTGGTTTGATCTCCTTGCAGTCCAAGAGACTCTCAAGAGTCTTCTCCAACACCACAGCTTAAAAGCATCAGTTCTTTGGCGCTCAGTTTCCTTTATAGTCCAGCTCTCACATCCATAAGTGACTACTGGAAAAACCATAGCCATGACTAGATGGACCTTTGATGGCAAAGTAATGTATCTCTGCTTTTTTAATAAGCTGTTTAGATTGGTCATAGCTTTTCTTCCAAGGAGCAAGCATCTTTTAATTTCATGGCTGCAGTCACCATCTGTAGTGATTTTGTAGCCCCCCAAAATAAAGTCTTTCACTGTTTCCATTGTTTCCCCATCTATTTGCCATGAAGTGATGGGAACGGATGCCATGATCTTAGTTTTCTGAATGTTGAGTTTNCCTCCACTAGCTTTGTTCGTAATGATGCTTCCTAAGGACTGCTTGACCTCACATTCCAGGATGTCTGGCTCTAGGTGAGTGATCACATCATCATGATTATCTGGATCATGAAGATCTTTTTTGTATAGTTCTTCTGTGTTTTCTTGCCACCTCTTCTTAATATCTTCTGCTTCTGTCAAGTCCATACCATTTCTGTCTTTTATTGAGCCCATCTTTGCATGAAATGTTCCCTTGGTAACTCTAGTATCTTGAAGAGATCTCTAGTCTTTCCCATTCTATTGTTTTCCTTTATTTCTTTGCATTGATCACTGAGGAAGGCTTTCTTATCTCTCCTTGCCTTTCTTTGGAACTCTGCCTTCAAATGGGTATATCTTTCCTTTTCTCCTTTGCCTTCAGCTTCTCTTCTTTCTTCAGCTATTTGTAAGGCCTTGTCAGACAACCATTTTGCCTTTTTGCATTTTTTTCTGGGTCTCAGAAGTAGGCAAAATGTGATGCCTTCCTTCTAGGTGATGCTGTCTGCCGGCCACCTGAGTTCCCTCTCCCTGTGTTCCTGATGACTCCCTCCGTCTTTGTGGCAGGGTT